GGTACGTTGACATTTTATCTGCACTGAGCTTCCCGAAACAGTTCGGCATGATATTAATCATCATATTTTTGGAAGCTTCCAAAATCAAACTCTCGGTTTCTAACCTGCGTGTTTTTCTTACACTTTTACGCTCTCTCATTATCACTTTTATTCCCGTTCTTCTCAGTGCCAATTAGATCTGAACAGGCTGGCTGTGACCCGACATTTGACCTTCGACCTGTGCCTGCTGGACAGGTGAACTCCTGGGTTTGTTCTGGCAACTGAGTTCCTTGTGATGGATGCCGGGGCCTGAGTAACTCTGACCTTGTTCGGTTCGGCTGTCGAAGGTCATGGTGAAAGAGACGCCGTTTTTAACAAAGAGCTTTGATTTGTTGTCTCATGTGTGGGTCTCTGCTTGCGAGCATTTTTTTCCGCTTCATTAAGACCGTGTTCACCTCAGGTCGAGATGAGGGAAGGCACGAACCTTCCAGACCCAAGTTGAGCTGCCGAAACGTCACTGTACTTTGCGTAGGAGAGCAGATGACAGATCAGTCAACATGAGGAGAATGGAGGTACTGTAGAAGGATGGAAATGGGAAGAACGAGGCATTTTTAAAATATCTCCCTGACGCAGCACATGCTTTTACCTGTTATGTCGGTACATTCCGTGCTAGTTCAAACTCTGCAGCACTCGGCTAATTAAAAACATTGCTCTTCTTAATTATTCAGCTGCAGCTAATTGATATTCAGCAAGACACTTTTCCTTCTAAATGACCCGTTTAATTTGACCATGGGGTCTGCTGCGATGATGCTGAAGTCCTCCTGCCATGCGAGAGCGGAGATTGTGTGGGAAGAGGCGAGCTTGCAATTAAAACAAAGTTTTTTGACGTATTATATCTGTCTACATTTTTTTTTTTTTCTACGAGCTGGAGGAAATGCAGCCCATCTGTTGCTTTGGGCCGTGCTGAATTCTCACTTACCAGATACAGAATGATAAATGTCACTGGGCATCTGTTTTTATTGCTCATTTTACAGAAGATTCCTTTGTCAATATCTCTGGTTGTGTCTTTAAAAGAATGAACTTAATGTCTGTCTGTGGCACACTGGGTGTCTGGCTCATCCATCTATGTGGATAAACGAATGGGAAATGCATTTACAGTTATTGTATTTTTTGTTGAAGCACTTATAGCATTGTGCGTAAACTTTAGATTGAAAATAACCCGAATATTCCATTGAGTCACGCAATGATAGTTTTTGTTATAATGGGTGTGAGTGGGCGACAACACGGCACAAAAATTGTCTCAGGGATAGCAGTGTTTTTAATGGGTCATATAATGAGAAATCAAATTTTCATTGGCCTTTCGAAATAACAGTTCATTGTATTCTGAAAGCATGTACTTTCAGAACTTAAAACTTTCTTCACTGTTTAAAAAAAAAATAAACAAAACCATTTATCAAAACTAAGCTGCAAAAACAACTCGTTCTGAACTACTGACACGGGTCAGATGAGCAAATAGAGCACAAATTCCCACATTCACACATCAACAATAATATCTATTTGGTATTCAAAACTTGGCACTCACAGTCACAGTGAAATAATAAGTTTAATTTAGATTATTATTCAGATATTTCTATTTCCAGACACCAGGACATTTTTTTAGAAATGATAGGAAATAATGCCAAACTTTTTGCTCTGTGTAGCACCTGCCACTCTGCATTTCTTTTCTGAAGAATCTGTTGGAAACTTGGCCCAGAATAAACTGTCACCAACTGCCAAATGTGATTTCAAAAATGGAATGTGGCTAATAAGGCCAGTAACTTTTCAGAAATATAATATAATTGTGAAAATAATAGATGGTTCAAATCAAATCACTCTAAAATCGAAGACATACGGACCTAATATAGACGTCTTCTAATGACAAAAAATTGGGGATACCCAATCCTCTCCAGAATGCCATGTGGCAAATCTGAATGAAATTTCTTTCTTTAGAATGAATTTCTCAATTCACCTATACAATTAGCAGGTGTGGCAAAAAAAATAAATAGATAAATAATTGGACAAAATGGTCTGAAGTTTGATTATTTTTAGCTATCATTTCAGTTTGATCTAAACAGTTTGAGCGGCACATTTCAACGCAGATTGCTTTGAGAATTAGTCACTATTAGTCACAGACTGGTCTTCAAGGAGCTAACTATAGCGCTACCCATATTGGGCCTGAAGGGGAAAAAAACAATGATAGTTTCTCTTCAAGTCCACTTCTCTTCTGATGGGGAGTCACCAGTTTGTTTAAAAAAGAAAAAAAATCTTTGTAGAACAGCGGGATTGCAGTTCGCTGTGGGTCTCTCTCTGTCTCGGTCTCTCTCCATCCAGACACATGTCACGAGAGGTGTGACATCTTGTATGATAAATCACTCTCATTGTCCTCCCTCCCATCCTCCCCATCTCTTGTTCTCAGTGTTTGTAGTTTCACTTTCATTTCTCAGCCTCCCATCCCACTCCCTGTTCATCATTTGCGGGATAATAGCGAGCGATTGGTCATGTGACTCGGGGGCCTTTGTTAGCAGTGTAATGTGATTATATGACCTGCAGGAGACTGAATGAGTGTGATGTGATGGAAATAATCCTGACAGCCTGTGTGACTGAGCGACGGAGGGCTGCCATATGCCCTCTATGATGTCTTGAATGAGAGGGAAAATCCCTGTGCGCACATCGGTGGCAGCGCCTCCCTGTTCTTTAATTGCTCATTGGATACGCTGTCACTGTGTTTACCTACTGGTCTGTGAATGCAGCTGCTCCGTGTGTGTGTGTGCTGAAGGTCAATGGCAGTAGCTGCATTTCTTTCCATAGAAAATTTGGAGCCATAATGTCTCCTTGACTGATTACCCACAATGCTTCTCGCCCACGCAAGGGCCTCGATTGGCTCGCAGACTTGAATGTGTCTGTGTGTACATGTGAGTGCTGGAGGAGAACAACGCAGAGGTCAGATTTATTCTGCCAGAGGGGTGGACTGCTTCTGTGGAGGGCTGTGGGTGTTTTTGGAGAGCAGTTCTGTCCGTCTTCACTGCTGCAGGTGTGGGACTGCATTAAACTGCAGTTGTGTTGCTATTAAACCGTGTTATACACACCCACACGCATGTCATGGGCCGCTCTAAACATACTGTACCTGAAATGTTAAATCAAAACGACCCTGTTTATTTTCTTAACACGTGTTGTTTGTCTAATTGTGAACAATGTGAAATTAGATGATTTCTAGATGATTAGCTTGTAGAAATTAGATGATTGGCTTGTAGATAATGCTTACCAGTAGCCAGATATCTGTTTTGGATTTATTTTTGCAACACATTTGGGCTTCATGCTGTTATCTAATGGCCACCGTCCATTCAAATCTCAGTGGATAATTGGTCATTTTGGTGTGTGTGCATTTAAGAGGCAGTGTGGTTTTAGTTTCATGGAGATAATATTACAGTTATTTCAGTCATTTTTATTTTGAGTATTTTTCTTTTTCATTTTCTTTCATATATATATATATATATATATATATATAATAAAAACTTAAATGATTTTAGCAAATGGCTGCAATATAACAAAGAGTGAAAAATTTAAGGGGGTCTGAATACTTTCCGTACCCACTGTATACAGTATATAAACACTGTAACCAACAGGGCACTCAGTAACAGAAAAGCGTATCGGCCGAAGCTGATACCGGCTCAATTATCAGCCTTGGCGATATATCGGCCAACCTCTAATCAGAATACCTTAGCAATCACTTAAAAATGCCCTCACAAAGACCTGTAAGGCCCAAGCAGATAGCAAACACCTTCTATAGAAAAGTGTAAAATTATAATCAGGGGTGCACATAAGCGGTATGTATGCGCAACCAAAATAAAAAAATGTGCAAAAAGGTCATCACCATTTCAGATCGACTAATTGTAATACTGTATAAGATTTCCATTCAAACTGAACGCATAAATCTAGGCTATGTGCTGCCGGTATCAGATCAAAACGCAAATCTATGATATTTCATTCACTGACGTCCTTCACTCGGCAGCACTACAGTGCCTGCAGCCTGCCAAAATAACAGCTTGCTGATTTTAGGTTTGAAAATTTTGAATCCATTAAAATTTTTTTGAATACATTAAAAAAGAAAAAAATAAATATTAGCATTGGATTTAAGTGTACTATAAATAATTATATTTTAATTTAATACTAATTTTTTATTTTGAAGTATAATAGTGTTATCAAACTTTACTTATTTTGTTAGTTTTATTTACAAAAAGAAACAAAATGAAGTGCAATAATTACTATTATTACTATTATTAATTATTAGATTTTTTTACAGATGCATTTAATGGGTCACACTATGTGCAGTGCACCAAACCAAATCTCCAGGTGCTCTCAAGAGAACCAGGCCGAAAAAACTTATGTTCGCCCCTGGCTATAATGATATGATGTGGTAATGTTACCTTTCCAATAACAAAATGAATGAGAATTTAGTGTGTACATGTGTGAGGAGATTTAAGAAGTTTAATTTTCTTTGGGATTATTATTATTAACCTTCTTAGTGACCTAGAAATCGTGGCAGTGTTACCTGCGGGTTTATATATATATATATATATATATGAGTCAGAGAGAAGTTCATCAGCGGCACAGGCCTCCATGAGCGCTGGAGTTAAGCTCTGATGGAGGTTGCTCTGCTCTGATTAGATTTAGATTAGATCAGATTTTCAGGGTTTAGATTTTAGATGAGATTTGTTGTGAAGAGCTCTTTCTCGCCTTGCGACGGTGTTTGATAACACAGAGCAGATCATACGGTCTCTGTGTCCCTGCACTACAGTAAACACCCCACTGCTTCACACCGCAGTTTGTGTGTGTGTGTGTGTGTGTGTGTGTGTGTGTGTATGTGTGTGTGTGTGTGCGAGCTTCAGCCTTTGAATACCGAATGTAATTATAGGAACTTCATCGTTAAATTGCTCTCTCTCTCTCTTTCTCTGTGTGCTTTTCTTTCTGCTCCCTCACTCCAGCAGATGGAGAGAAAGGTAAGGCATAAGTGGTTTGATTTGTACATCCCATATCTGTCTCAACCTGCTTCCTGCTGCAGTACTGCATGCCTAAAAAGACTCTCTCTTTCACTCTTTCTTTCTCTTTTCTCTTGTCTCTTTCGCTCTCTTTTTCTGTAATTTACTGCTGATTTTTTTTTTCTAATCATCGTTTTTCTTTTATTTCATGTCATTTTCTTGCCATTGTGTTTGTACACCAGCTAAGAAATTATTTTTCATTGTTGAGGCACTTTTGCTTATGAAATAAATTAATCATGGCTGAATGTGATTTGCTCTATCTATAACTTTTGCATAATGCTGCATCTACGCTGCTATATGTTAGCATAAGTTCAAGATGACCAGCACAACATAAAAAAAGAAATAAAAACCTAAAGTTAAAAAATCACTAATTTTTACTCACTTTTTGTTTCCTGGAAAACCCACCAGAATGTTAATGGTGATTTGATAAAGAATATTATTGAAATATTATTTATTATTTGGTTAATATTTAGTATGTGTTGAGTTGATAGCAGATTATTTATGCACACTGAAAAAACTATGGCTGTTAATAGAATAGCATAATTGTGATTAATCTCATGATTTTTGACCATATTTCAAAGAACAGAATAATAATAGTAATGTCAAATTTTGTAAATATATTTAAAAACGCTTGCGATATCTATTTGTGTGTGTATATATATACAGTATATATACACGCACACAAATACATATCGCAAGCATTTTTAAATATATTTACAAAATTTGACATTACTATTATTATTCTGTTCTTTGAAATATGGTCAAAAATA